TCCCCTCAGTACACCGTTTTACAATACCAACGCAGCCACAATCAGCAGAGGTGCGGCAGTGCGCATCCACACAGGGCTGAAACTGCTGTCAGCATCGCCCGGCTTCTGCTCGTTGCTTGGTGCATTAGTGGAAGTGGGTTCTTGTGTTGATGGTTTGTCGGTGTTCTCAGGATTCTCAGTGTTACCTCCATCTTCATTCTCTGGTGGTTTTGGGGTTCCTGAGCCATCTGTAGGAGGTTGCACATCGGTGTCAGGTGATTCTGGCTCCTCTTCGTTATCATCATCATCCTCTTCTTCTCCATCCGGGAGTTCTTGGTCAGGAGGTGCATCTGGTCCTGTTCCTGGTTTTGTTGGGCCCTGTTCTTGGCCATCTCCCCCACCCGCCACTTCATCTCCTACACCATCCCCCTCTGTTGCATCTCTGGCCGAAATGCTCTTATTGTCTTTAACCTCAGCAGCAGAAGCCGCCATGGCATACCCGCAGGCGATGCACAGCAGAACGGCCAACACACACATCACANAAGTGGGTTCTTGTGTTTCAGGTTTCTCGGGGGCAGGGGTTTCTTTGTTATCTTCTCCTGCAGGAGGTTGCGGGTCGTTTTCTTCTTTTCCATCTTCACCCTCGCCACCTTGCGCAGGAGGTTTCGGTTGAGGTTCACTTCCCTCGGGTGGAACCTGATCAGGTTTCCCCTCTGGGTTTCCTCCGTTGACACCATCCCCATTCTCATCTCCAGCGCCCTCTTCTTCTTCATCATCATCATCAGGGACCTCATCTGTATTGTTATCTTGTTCTGGGGGCACTTCCTCTGGCTCTGTTGGGCCAGGATTCACGTGATCCCCCTCCTCCTTTGGGTCCTCTTGGCCATCTCCCCCATCCCCATCTACTTCCGTCTCTGGCCCTGCATCCGTTTCTTGTTTTTCTTTAACCTCAGCACCAGAAGCCATCACCCCCTTTGTCTGTCCAGCAGTAGTTGTAGCAGCCGCCGCCATGGCATACCCGCAGGCGATGCACAGCAGAACGGCCAACACACACATCACACGGTTCATCTTCATCATCGTGAGAGAAAAAATAGTTTGGTTTGCGTAAAAACACTGATCCAGAAAAACAAAACAATAAAAAAGGGAGAAAGAGAGTGGATACAGGACACAAATACTCACAGTGAGAGAGAAAAAGAGAAGGAGCTGCAACAGCAGAGTACAGTAGTAGAAAAAGAATAGCCCCTTTTCAGGATGATGCAGACCCCCAAAAAACAGTATATACAGAAAAAAAAGTACACAAATCCAAAACAAAAAGGTCAAATACCAAAACTCCAAGTGTATATTGTTGTACAACATTGTGGGTTCATTAATCACAGGTATAAACGTATATTTGTGATACATACGATATATACGTGGTCAGTGAGCAGAAGAACACAGGGCCTCTGCACATGACCAAAGAGAAGAAATTTAATGAGAGAAAGGTAAAAAAAAAAAAAAAATGCAAAATAAAAAAAGAGGAAGTT